CTTACTCTCTGCATTAATTTTGCATAATTTCTATTGTACATTTTAAAAATCAGACAATAATCAGGGTTACCCATACAAATACCTGTGACCACATCCTCCAGATTCTGCCTTCTGGTAGATTTGTATTCAACATAACTTTTAAAAGAGAGAGAGAACAAGGGGGAATGCCCTGCCACAGAGGCAGGGTAGGACGGGGGGGATAGGGGGTGGGAGGGATGCTGGGACCCGTGGTGGTAGAAAATGGACACTGGTGGAGGGATGGGTACTTGATCATTGTATAACTGAAACCCAAGCACAAAAATTTATAAGTCTATAACTGTACCTCATGGTGTTTCACTAATAAAAAAAATTAATCACTTAATCACTTAACTTCCCGTTAGTCGTCGATTTGCTCGAGCGGGCGCCAGTAACGTTTCCATTTGTCCCTGTCGTGTGCTAGTGTAGCCCAATGGCATCTGTTTGCTCTGGGATCATGAAGAGCCTCAAACCGATCGTTCATGATCTTGACGAAGAAGTCTGACCATCTGGTAGGTGGGCGGCCACGCTGTCTCTTGACATCCTGTGGAATCCAATCAGTAACAGCTCTAGTCCAACGGTCGTCTTTAAATCTCATTAAGTGACCAGCCCATCTGATTTTCGACACCTTGGCAAATGAGACAGCGTCCCTGATCCTTGATCGTCGACCAGTAACTACAACTGGTCTCATAAAAAAATTAAAAAAGAATAAATCATAAAAAAACAAACAAAAAATAACTTTTAATGCATTTTGGTGAATTTCCCAAATGTACATTGCTGTCAATTAAGATCTAATAATATTTTTCAAAGCAGTCACTGAAAAAGCTTAATTAGTGTGTATTCAGGTATGTTTTACCTGAGTATTATTTTTAATAGGGTTTATGGTTTAAAAAAACTGTATTTACTCATATTTGTCAGTGATCATGTGGTTACTATATGAGACCAGGTGAGTTGGAGAAGATAAGGTTCTGATGTTCATGCTCTTTTGACTGTAGATCTTCCAAGACAATTGTGTTGATTGTCAAAGCTGTCACACAAACTACACTATCTTCTCCAGGAATTCATGCCTCATTAATATATAAATCACCTGAGGCCTGAGTGATAGTACAGTGGGTAGGGTGCTTACCTTGTACACAGCAGACCTGGGATAGATCCCAGGCATCCTATATGGTTCTAGAAGTCCCTCCAGGAGTTACGGCCAAGCTCAGAGGCAGGAAAAAGCCCTGAGTGGAGCCAAATGCTGCATATATGGTCCATATATTTATATATCATATATTTCACCAAATAAGTAGATAAATATCATGTAGACTAATTTTAAACATGTGGCTTTCTGAGGGTCTGTTTGGTATATATAAAATTGAGTTTTGCCCTGACAAAATACATTTCCTTTTGATAAGCAAGTATTAGATTTCTTAAGTACACATATTTTAATTAAGCAGATGACAAGATGGACTTTGGTGTAGTTTGTAATGGCAATGAAAGTCAACTCACACCTTTCAATTGTGATATCCCTTTGCACACTACTTCTCAGTGCATTGGAGGATGTCAAATTGCAAATGAAGCTGATCATTTGCAATATATAATCCAAGATTTTGTGGATTATGTACATGATCTGGGGATTTCCTCCCTATCCTGATCCCCCACCCAACCTCCACCGATGACTGGGAAAGCACTGATTCCAAGTTTTGTTTGCCTGTCCTTCTGCAAGAAAAGGCTGATTTGATAAAGGAGAGGCTAAGGAGGTCAATTAATTTTCTAGTTCCTCTAAACCTTTGTTTTCTGACAAAGCTGATGATATGATTTGGTAACATGTTCTTGATATTCAGTCCATTTTGTTTTTGTTTTGGAAGAAATCCAGAAGTGTTCATGGCTTACTCTTGACTCTGTACTCAGGAATCTCTCCTGATGGGGCCCCTTGAACCAAATGGGATGCCAGAAATTAAACCAGGATAAGGTGCTTGCCTTGCAAGTGCACTACTATCTGTACTATCTCTGTGTACCTTCAATCTATATACTTTTACATTGTCCATCAATTCAAAAATGTTTTCAGTCTTTCACTGTTTAAAAATAAGTAAATGGAAAGGAAGTCATTTAAAGGCAAGAGTTGTGTAAAGGAAGGAGATAAAAGAAAATTGTTAGCAATTTCCTTAACCCACTTGAATATTTGTTTCAATTGTTAGTGTTTATAAAGTACCATGATCATGTGGAAACTCAAGTAAGTTTACATTATCATCACCTCCACATTTCAATAAGAGTTGATGAACTAAGGCCGGAGAGAAAGTAAAAGGTGCTTGCCTTGCATAGAGCTGACCTTGGTTCAAATCCCCTAAGTATGGTCCACTGAACACTACCAGGGGTCATTTCTTTTCCTTTTATTGCTTTTTTTAATTAAAGAACTGAGATTTACAAAATTATTGATAGTTGTTCTAGGCACATAATATTTCAACACAAGTTCCACAACCAGTGTCAACTTCCCTCTACCAGTGTTCCCAGATTTCTTCCCCACCCCCAATACCTAAGCTAATCCCCACCTCTCAAATTGACAGAAACACTTCAAAGTTACAGTGGTTGCAGCTTAGATCTCATGTTTTCAGTGTTACTGAGTCTGCATTTTGGATATTTGGCTATATGACACCCCCATATCATCAGTATAACTGAATCCCTGATGCCTATTCACCCATTACTTCCTGTTGTCTTCTTCCCCCTTTGATTTCTTTCCTTCCCTGTCTCTCTCCTCTCTAACTACTGGGGTAAAATATTGATGTAGTCATTTTCTTTTTACTACATTTTCTCATACGCATTCTATATACCCCAGATATGTAAAATTATCGTACCAGGAGTCACTTCTAAGCACAGAGCCAGAAATAATCCCTAACCATGACCAGGTTTTGCATAACCCAACTCTCCCACCCTGCTAAAAATGAATTGATATACTAACATGATAGGAAAAAATCCCATGTTAGTATAATAATGTTTCTATAGCATAGTTACATCAACCCAAATCTTAAATCATCCCACTCCTTTATCCTGGAAAAATAAAGCTTTCAATTTTAAGAGCAGAAAAACACAATGAAATAGAAATACTATTGAGAAGAATGATTCTCCACACAAGCAACTTTCAACACATTTATTGCAAGTAGCTCTACGGAAAGGCAAGTCAGATATATACACATAGACATTATACAGAGTTGCAAGGTTGTCTCCCAAAACCACAAATGAGTTGTCCACAAAGAAAGACTATAAGGGTATTTACAAAGGAAGACAAAACCAGAGCAACTGAAAGATTTCTGAAGCGGAAACAATAAATGTAATGAACTTTTGGATTTGTAAAGTTTTAGTTTTTAGTGACCAAATGATTGTGTATGAAACCAAATTAAATGTAAAAATCACGCACCAAAAATCATTCCATCATTGATTTTTCTTAACAGCAGTATAAACTGGACACTGAAAGGTAAGTGACATATTGGCACACATACTTGCTAAAGACTCTTTCCTCCAGCAAAATACTGAATAAATTAGTTGCCTGTATACTAAGATGCAGTGTCAAAGATGGCATATTATGCTGTACCTGTGACTATCTGTACCTGTGACTATTTGCATATACTGTTGCATATGAAATGTCCCACTTTGATCAGCAATCTTTATCTCTAAAATGTACCCCATCTGCTGGCTGCCTCCGAACCTAATATGCAACTAAAGTGATATAACATTTTCCATCATATAATTTCTTTCCACAATTCTGAATGATTATTATGACTTATTTGAATGTAAAATGGTGACAGAAGGCTTGAAATTACGCTCCTAGAGAGTGCACTGTTATCACCAACAACAAAAGCCATACTGCATTGTTTGATTAGGTTGGAAAAGAGAAGAGACTGAAGGAACTAATGAAATTGATGCTCTAGCAGAGACCAGTAACTAGGGTAGCAACTGGAACTGTAGCCACATCCTCTCCTCAGCATCATTCACAATGGGAAAAGGTCCCCCCACCCCCCACATCCCTTTTGTTGGTAGGCAAGGAATAACAATAGAAGTCAACTCGGTTCTTCAGAAAAGTTAGTTTAGCAACATGTACTAGAAGCCTGCTCAAGATAGAAGTACACATTCAAAGACATCAGAACCGAGTGGCACAAAACTTTAGGTAAATGTTACACTACTTCAAAATTGCACGTTAACTGCGAAGCAATTTTTTAAAACAGTTACACACAACAGGTACATCTACAATTACAGGTACACAAGGTGTGCATAAACACAAACATGTGTGTGCACACACACCAACACTCACACTTAGACACTCATACCCATCTGTGATATGATGAGGTTTGTTAATGATGGCATTACAAGTTGTGATTTGTGTACCACCATATAACAAAGCTCTAAGCAAGTTTCAAGACCTTTGTAACTATCCTCTGTGGTCACCACCTGTTGGTGTCATGTTCTCAAAGGTCCAGGTTCCTAAAATCTTAATTCAGTTTCCATCAGAGGCAAGTAATAATAGGGGTGGGTGCTTGCTCTGAACTTTTGTTGTTTTACTTTGATACATCTTATATCAGCTCACTGCCGAAAGGACAACATGGCCTTATAAGAGGTTCCTTTTGGCTTAACTTTTAGTCAGAATATTAATTAGTCTGTATACACTAATTCATTGAATATGGGAAACTGATCTCTTTTATAGGAGCCCTGGGAATAGGGGGAGACAGTATATCAATTAAGGAAAGAGTCAGAAAAAAGGAGAATGAAGGGTGAAAGGGAAGGCCCAGAGAGGCAGGGGGGCTTGTAAGGAGACTTTTGGTGAACTTCTGATTTTTTAAGTAGGGCAAAGTAAGTTTCCAATTAAAAAAATAATAGTGGTTTTGGAAATGCTCAATTGATTTGTGAGCAGAACATCATAGTATTGTAAATGAATGTATAGGTATTATTATATGTGAACAACATATGTGTTCAATATTTAAGTATTTTTTTCTGTTCTGCCTTTAAAATTTTATAAATGCTCAATCATCACACCAGTTTTGTTGACATTTAGTATAGACAGAATGTTGCAGTGTTGTTAATTAACAATAACTGAGATCTGTCCTTTAGTCCTGCCATTAAAATATCAAAAATGTCTCATCAAGATGCAAATTCAGTTGATATGTAATTCATTGATCAAGAAATGTTTGTGTATGTACAACTCAGAATAAAGATTCCAGATCATACCTACCTTCTCACAAATAAAACTTGAACTCTTTATCTTCTCATTTTTGAAGGATTTTTGACTTCAAAATTTATCTAAATATTATACATAAGTAAAATAGGTATTGGCCACATTTATACATATGCAAATAATATTATTCAAAGAGGAGAATGACAGAGTTGCAAGATGCTTGCTTGTACAATCTAGTTTCTTTCAAAGCAAAAAAGTAGGGAGGGGAAATCAGAAAGCAAATACCAAGGACAGTATGAATTTCTTAAATCAACATCACTATATCCACAAGGCAGCAGCAAGAATGATCTGTGTGGAACAGGATCATTCAGCTGCCATCATCCACTTGTAGACGTAAACATTCAGGTTGCTTTTTATTCAGAAGCCTCTGAATTTTCCTACTCTTAGGCAGATCTGGAGATGAATTTTCATAAGCATCATTCTTCTTTTAACATGTATTTTTCGCGGCAATGTAATGACTCTAGGGGAAAAAAGATGACAAAACAAATGTTACTTTCAGAAATAAAGTGAAGATCTTCTGGTTCCATTCTACCATTAAGCAAAACAAAACAAAATTCAACTAGCTGTTTTGAGAGTCAAGCTGAAAAGATTGCATTGGTATGAATGTGCCTAAATAAGGGCTGGATGACTCTGACAATCATCAGCAGGGTCTGACAAAGTCATTAGGGCAGTAAATCCTTTTGCTGGCTTCCAATATGACAATTCTGGTGAATAACAGCTTTACACATGTACGAACTATTCTACTTCCTTCCAATGGGTCCAGCAAGTGAGTCAGACATTGGGCAAAGGTTTTGTATCCCTTTTCCTACATACTTGATTATGCCTTCACCTAATTATGTGGCACAAGTTAAAGGATCAAAGCACAGCTTTGTTGATAGTTTGCACATTTAGTTTTAGTTGATAGTTTGCAGACTTTGAATTTCTTCTAAACCAGAAAAGTCATACCTGCAAAGAATATTTGGTTGAAATCCCCATCTGTCTAATGAAAAGAAGTTCTAGTATTACTCTCTTGGTCTTCCACTTATTGACAGGGTGCATAATTGGGAATGGGCAGAGAAGGGAGTCTAGTACATGAAGAAAGAGCTGGACTGGAGAAGGGATGAGGATACACAGGTCAGCAAAATGAATATGGGACACCAATATTACTAGTATTATTTTAAGGTCAGACAACATCAAAGTTCCTAGTATCTCATTCATCTACAAGAAACCATGAAAAAATCTCCCCAGAGTCTGCACTGCACTGCACTGTCCTCCCGTTGTTCATTGATTTGCTCGAGCGGGCACCAGTAACATCTCACAACAAATTGTGAGACTTGTTACTGTTTTTGGCATATCGGATATACGTGATGGGTAGCTTGCGAGGCTTTGCCGTGCAGATGAGATATTCTCGGTAGCTTGCCGGGCTCTCCAAGAGGGGCGGAGGAATTGAACTCGGGCCGGTCATGTTGGCTGCATGCAAGACAAACACCCTACCCGCTGTGCTATCGCTCCAGCCAAGAGTAGGAAAAGAGAAAACTACTGTTTTATTTATTTTTTACAGGGGTCACATTGGGCATCACTCTGCCTCAGAGGTGGACTCTTTAGCAGACAATTGGTTCTTGGGGGCCAACAGGTCCTTGGTGATGGCGGATGTGGTGCCATGGATGGAACTTAGGGCCTTCTCTACTATTTATGTTTTTACTAGGAATATATGGTAATGACTTATTTGTGGGGGTAGGTGAGAGGTTGGGTTACATCCATTGGAATCTGGGGAATATTGCTGGCTTTGTGCTCAGGAGTGGCCCCTGACTGTAACTGCATGATCATATATAGTGCCAAGCATCGAACTGGGGTCTGCATGAAAGGCAAGTGCCTTAATCCTGCACTATCTCTGCATCAAAACCATTCATTTTATAATCAAAGATTTCATTAATAAATTTGAAGCTGGATGAAGTGTCAAATATCTTCATACACCCTCCCATCTTCTTATGGCTATTTGTTACGGCTCACTGTATGGTACCATATGCATGACTCATTATATAGTTATACTTACATATATATGACTCACAATATGGCACAATGTATAGTCAAATATACATGGTTCATTGTGTAGTACCATTCCCCCACATTAAAATTTTTTTTAAAAAATAAATAGTTATATTAAGTTTTTCTGTAAGTATTGGGTTTAAAAAATTTACATTCTATGTATCTACTTTGTGCTGAATGAAACACATATACATAGGTTAACAGTTACTAATGAGCAACTCAATTATCTCAATCGGTAAGGTAAAGGTAAAGGCCCTCCCGTCGATCGTCGATTTGCTCGAGCGGGCCCAGTAACGTCTCCATTGGAGACTTTGTTGTTACTGTGTTTGGCATATCGAATACTCTCGGTAGCATGCCGGGCTCTCCAAGAGGGGCGGAGGAATCGAACTCGGGTTGGCCATGTTGGCCGCTTGTAAGGCGAACGCCCTACCCGCTGTGCTATCGCTCCAGCGTATCTCAATTGAACTCAGATAAATTCAATTATCATTTAAAAAGTTTTACATTCTATGTATCTAATTTATGCTGAATGAAGGTATAGCAATAGGCTATCAGTTAGCCATAGGTTTTTAGTTGCTACTAATTAAGCTATACTCATAGAATTTTGTAGATACTACCAGCAAACTTCTTTCAATATAAATTTACGTTAAGAAAGGTATTTCACAAAGTTTAGTGTTTTACTTTGTTTTAATAAAAAAGGGCAGCAAAGTACATATAGCATAAAAGGGAATTCTTACTACACTGAAATACATTTATTACTTTCATAGATACTTTTGAAACACAAATTAAGCTCTACATAAACAATCTAATAAGCATTATATAATCCTAAAAGAAGGTATATAATGCAACCTACCTCCTTCCTTCCTTCCTTCCTTCCTTCCTTCCTTCCTTCCTTCCTTCCTTCCTTCCTTTTCTTTCCTGCCACACCCAGCTGTGCTCAGGGTTTACTTCTGACTCTGAACTCAGAGATAACTCCTAGTGGGGGTGGCAGGGCCATATGGAGTAAGTGTTGGCTGCGTGTCAGGAAAATGCCCTACTCACTGTACCATTGCTCGGGCTCCACTTCTTTATTTTTAATAATGGAGATGCTACTAAAATTTGTACTCATATTCTGATAAAATGCCTGCATTGGGTGATTACTTGATATAATAAAAAACCTAAAAAATAATGGTATGATTCCAAGTTTACTCTATAAATTATATTTGATAACTCTTGATTAACCATGATAGTAGAAAAGACCAATGGTACCCAAAATAAGATAATCCCAGAATAATTTAATTTGCTTTTGAAATACATTATGGGAACATTAGCCAAAGATTTACCTTTATAAACCTGTTTTACTTAGGTTTATAAAGATTTCCTGAGCACATCACAAAGAACCGCATAAGGAAATAATGCAGAACCTTGCTGGGTGGCGAAGGAAAGTAACTCAGGATTAAAACTCCACCAGAAACAGTGTTCAAAATGAATATCAAAAGGCTAAAAAACATACCTTTGCGGTTCATTTGTATATCATCTCACAACCAGAAGGGTAAAGGATGATGCTTTTTTTTTTTTTTTTTTTTTTGCTTTTTGGGTCACACCCGGCGATGCACAGGGGTTATTCCTGGCTCATGCACTCAGGAATTACTCCTGGCGGTGCTCGAGGGACCATACGGGATGCTGGGAATCGAACCCGGGTCGGCAGCGTGCAAGGCAAACACCCTACCCGCTGTGCTATCGCTCCAGCCCAGAATGATATTTTAAATAATGTTCTCTGTATTTATATTTTTCCACTTGATACTGACAAGGTGTCTTGTCAGTCTTGCCTATCTGATTGGGTAAATTCATACATTCTGATTAATCAAAGATTCTTTCAATAACACATTGATTTCACTCCTTGTAATGTGATGTATACTAATAGTAAATTGTGATATATGTAATTTTTCTCTGTAAGAGAGAAAACCTCAATTGACTCAGACTGTGATGGGTAAAAACATTTTCCTTACCTCTACACTTCTTTAAAGTTCAAAATAGCAGCGGTTCCCCAATTCAGAGGAAACTCAAACCAGAACAATATTCCAATTATTTTCTTGTTCTCTTTTCATTATTTCTAATCTTATTGTCTTGTAAATTCCAATTTCTCAAGAACTTAAACATGTTTTTCAAAGTCTTTTGAAAATTCTTCAGTCCCTTTATTAATGTCCTTGAAATCAACTGGTGATCACACCATCAGTGATAACCAAGTAAAGCACGAAGAAAAACAAATTAAAGGAGGTAAGTAGAAATTAAAAGTATGTATCTCAAAGTGCTGCAGCGATAGCACAGCGGGTAGGGCATTTGCCTTGTACGCGGATGACCCGGGTTTGATTCCTTAATCCCTTTCAAAGAGCCCGGCAAGCTACCAAGAGTATCCCACCCACCTGGCAGAGCCTGGCAAACTCCCCGTGGCGTATTCGATATGCCAAAAACAGTAACAAGTCTCACAAAGGAGACGTTAATGGTGCCTGCTCGAGCAAATTGATGAAGGAGGACAGTGCAGTGCTACAGTATCTCAAAGATGAACATATAATACTATATATGGTTAGCTTAACAATAGTAAGGTGTTATTTAGTTGAGCATTACCTCTGACAGTGCTCTGGGAGTGTAGAGAAGGATAATTCTCTATGACTTTACTAATTTCTAAGTGCTGCCTCTCCATGGTGAAAACTAACAACACTTCCTACTAGTCCAGTAATACCAGACTGTTGTAGTTTTCATGGAACATAAGATAAAATATTTTTCTCCCCACAGTAGCCACAGTTTTGTAGCAAAATAGCCAAGTGCTGTTTCTATCTTCTTAAAGGTCACTGAAATTGTTCCATAACTGCACTTCACTAATAGGCCATAGATCACATATGCACGCATGTGCATTCCATTCTTAATTATTTACATACAGACTATATGGGGATCAGGTACAAGTTTTTCATCTTCAGTGAGCTTCTCTACCCTCTCAAACATACACTTGAGTCACTTCACTAAGCTGCCTAGATACTTCACACAAAAAGAATGAGTTATGAAATTCATTCTAATATATACAGCCTCTAACTTTTAAGAGAGATATATTCCAAGCAAGCTTTCTTACTTAATTGAAATTCAGAAAAAAATTATCTCATGCAAACAATGTGACAAATTTTGGTTTATAGGTTGGTTTGTTTGTATAACAAATGAATATATAAACCTAAGCAGTCCCTGAACAGAAGTGCATTGACTATAGCCACTGCCACTTATAATACCACTTCAGTGGTGGGATACATTTGATATTTCATGATATAACTATGGAAAAATATCCTTTTTAGTCACAGCAATAGGAATAGTGACTCTGAAAGCAAGTATCTGGAATAGTTGGGAGCAGCATTGGCAATGAAAAGAGTTTTATTCTGGTATAAACTGAAACCACAATAAGGGGTCCTTCATGGG